ATTTACTTTAACCAAAGAAGCAAAATAAATTAGAAGATTTATCCTACCCTAATGTGGAAGACAATGGGCTATCTACGCTCTGTCTATCATGGGGAATCGAACTCCGGATTTTAGCGATATCATGCTAGAGCATCATATATTCTACTTAATCTGGTTTTTATTGTAGTTGATTACATTATCTTAACCTAATGGGTCAGCAGTAAGTTTCCGGACTTAAAACGCAAAATCTGGAGCTCGATTCCCCGCGATGGACAAAGCACAAATAGTCAATTGTGTAGCTTTACAATATTGAACAAACAAACAACATAGACAGAGGTTAAGTCATAGACACCTCAAAAGTCAAACAGTTTTTTATTGTTTTTCCTTATAAGTCATTTATTATAAACATATAATTATTCATACATCCAAGTCAATAAACTAACGTATAATCATTTGTAGTGTCAACACAAGTCAACAAACTAACATATAATTATTTGTAGTGTCAACACAAGTCAACAAACTAATATATAAATATTTGTAGTGTCACACAAGTCAACAAATTAATATATAATTATTTGTAGTGTCACACAGGTCAACAAACTAACATATAATTATTTGTAGTGTCACACAGATCAACAAACTAACATATAATTATTTGTAGTGTCACACAAGTCAACAAACTAACATATAATTATTTGTAGTGTCACACAAGTCAACAAACTAACATATAATTATTTGTAGTGTCACACAAGTCAACAAACAAACATATAATTAATTACTTGAACTGTCATACAAGTCAACAAAGTAACAAATAATTATTTGTACCGTCACAAAAGTCAACAAGCTAACATACACTTACTTGTGCCTTTAAATAACAAACTAAACACATATTAGAAAATCAGTATGTGACCGGATATTTACCGCATTTGTATGCTATAACTTTATTATTTATATTATTTTGAACGAAAGCTTGACGGTATTCATATTCAACATACAAGTGCACCCTAATTTTACCATGTGATTTGTCTTCAGCTCCTCCACCAGGGCCAGAGAAGTGTGGTTATCTTCCAGAGAAGGATGAAGAAGTCAAGGAAGAAAACCCAAACATTTTGGATGATTGGCCATGGATTGCTACCATCTACACAAACATAGGGATGGCCAAAAATAACATGTCGGGAGAAATAGGACTTTGCGGTGGAGTTCTGTTGTGTGACCAATGGGTGCTTACGGCAGCAAGTTGTTTACATACATTTGATAGAAGAGCCATGGTGGCCGTGGACATGGTATAATGTTAAAATACTTAGTTCTCTAGCGGCTAGTGAAAAAAATAAACCAACATATATGTATTTAGTGGAACCACTAAAACAGTAACGTATGTGCCTGTTTAAAACGTAAAACATTTCATATAGATCACGCTAGAAACCACTAAATCTGTATTGGTTAAGTTTGGAAAGCTTTGTATTCAGGTGTCTTTTCAAATGTGAGCAATTTTAAAGTGTTGAGAAGACAAAAACTTAAGATTAAGGACAAGTCTCGATGTTTAATATAAGAATTGGTGTAACTGCATATATAAATTAAACTATAACAGATGTAACTGCATTTATATAAAGATTATCTTAGCATGTGTGTAACTGCATATATGAATTAAACTATAACAGGTGTAGCTGCATATATAAAGATTATCTTAGCATGTGTGTAACTGCATATATATATTAAACTATAACAGGTGTAACAGCATATATAAAGATTATCTTAGCATGTGTGTGACTGCATATATATATTAAACTATAACAGGTGTAACTTCATATATATAGATTGAACTGGAACAATTGTAACCGCATATATATATAAATTAGAATAAAACAGCTGTAACGCAATAGATAGATTATACTAAAACACAAGTAACTGTATATATATATGTATATAAATTAGACTAGAACAGCTGTAACGCAATAGATAGATTATACTAAAACACGAGTAACTGTATATATATATATGTATATAAATTAGACTAAAACAGCTGTAACGCAATAGATAGATTATACTAAAACACAAGTAACTGTATATATATATGTATATAAATTAAACTAGAACAGCTGTAACGCAATAGATAGATTATACTAAAACACAAGTAACTGTATATATATATGTATATAAATTAGACTAGAACAGCTGTAACGCAATAGATAGATTATACTAAAACACAAGTAACTGTATATATATGAATATAAATTAGACTAGAACAGTTGTAACGCAATAGATAGATTATACTAAAACACAAGTAATTATATATATATGTATATAAATTAGACTAGAACAGTTGTAACGCAATAGATAGATTATACTAAAACACAAGTAATTATATATATATGTATATAAATTAGAATAAAACAGCTGTAACGCAATAGATAGATTATACTAAAACACAAGTAACTGTATATATATATGTATATAAATTAGACTAGAACAGGGAAAACAAAACAATAAACATCTTTCCTTCATAAATAACTTGTGTTTAAAGTGGCCATCATCATCATCATCATCGATACCATTGTAATACAAACGTCCTTATAAACAAACCATGAACTATAAGAATAATAGTATCTTTAAGTATCTGCAATGGCCTACCCTATATATTTATATGTATTAATTATCAACTTCTATATTGACGTTTCATGTTACAGGCCTATTTCTTAAAAGTTTCCTCAAATTCCCACCTCTTCACCCAAAATGGTTGTTTTGTTGTCAGTAGGTCAGTAAATAAATTATCTTTTTATCTTTAAAAAAAAATTTTTGAAATAGATTTTTTTAAAAACTCAAACTTTCTTCAGCCGTAATTTCTCCAAAACTTTTTTTTTCAGAAACAAGTGTTTGTGGTTCTTGGAGAAAACGTCCTGACAGAGGAAGATCAAACTCAAAGGAACTTCTACGCTAAACAAATTAAACTTCATCCAAATTACACGATGAGCCATGAACATGACTTAGCTTTAATAAAGTTAAATGAACCTGTTCCTTTGAACGTCATCTATCGTCCCGCTTGTCTTCCAGACCAAAGTAAGTTATTAGAACCATTTCATTACTTCGTGAGAATTCTTTTTTTTTCTATTATTCTATGGAAATGTTTTATAAAATATCATATAATCTGCCTGGTTTACTGAAATGTGACTAACAAGGTGAAATGAACTCGAGTTGCTCTGAGTGTAATATCCGACGAGATAAGTAACTTAGAACGTGCTCCATACCTTTAGAATAAGGGTGCGTTATAAGAGTGATGGTCAAATCCCTCTATTCAATCAGACGAGAATAGCCCAAGAGCTGGCTGTGGGTGATGTTGGATATCTGTCTTCTCACTAGTCTTTAAGTTCAAAATTAGGAATGGAAAGGAATGGAAAAGAAAGCAAAAAAATATAAAAAAACAACCATGGTGGAAGGAATCACATGACAATAAAGATTAGGTTCGTTTTCGAAACCTAATTCATAGCAACTTTCGAAGAACTTTTCGTAAAGAAAGGTGCATTAATAGTTTTTAAATTATACTTTGTTTGTTTTAAACTGTGGAAACTTATTAGGTCGATTAGATCAGTGTTTCTCAAAGTGAGAGCCGCGGCCTTCATGGGGCCGTGAAGCTTTTTCTGGGGGGCCGCCAAAAAATAGGCCGAAAACAAAGATGTTGATTTAATTTTAATTCTAAATAAACAATAAGCCGATAAAAATTATATTGAATCAATTAAATGATATAGTATGTTGAAAGGAGATGTTATTGTTTTACTACGGTACTTTTTTCAATCACCATGCTAAAGTTATAGGTTGGAGAGGGGGGGGTCTCACATTTTGTTATTCGCATCAAGGGAGCCTCAGACTAATAGAGTTCGGGAACCACTGGACTAGATCTTGTCAATCAAAATGTAATAATCCAAAAATTTTAAATAGTAACTTCAAAATATTCAACTATATGGTAATGTTAACTAAGAATAACTTTTATAATACCCTGCTTTCCATGACGTATTAACTGCGATTCTTGTGAATTACAGTAAGAAACACTGAAGTTATAAAATTCAAACCCTGACCAGCAAAATATGATTTACGTAAGCTCTATCAGTCCAGTTAAAACGATTTAACCTCATCTCAGCTAAGTAAATCCCCTACATGAATGTTAGCAACCCATCAGCTAAGCATAATATCCCACACGTGTATAGGCAAAAAATTCCCAGCCTCATTCACGGTGAATAGCCAGTAAGAAGTTACAGTTCACTCGTGTCTCATAACCTCATTCACGGTGAACAACCAGGAAGCAGTTACCATTCACTCGTGATCCAGAACCTCATTCACGGTGAAAGATTTTCTGAACAAAAATTAACCATCTGGAAAACGAACAAGAGATTTAATTAACAATTATAACGACATATCTATACAATTCCTGTTATTCTTATTGTTATTAGTTATGATATTTTAAAGGTACTTTAAAAATATAATATATATGTGTATGTCTCAAAAAATAAATCATTTTAAATGAATTTTGAATAACACTTCCAATCAGCTAACTATGATATTTGATATTTTCAACATGAACGGCATGTTATATGATACACTAGTTAATGGGCTAGGTCATAGACCCCCTAGAGTTCAAGAAAAGCCACTTCTAACTTTGACGTACTGACCAGAGGAAAGGCGACCATTTATCAGCACCTGCCGCCAGGACTTTATCTGGCTTCGAACCAAATAAGAACGTTGATTGCTACTTTTAGAACGCATTCACACTTAAAAGAAGTACAAACTAGGTCGTATTATGCATTGTAATCTATTCAAAGTTGCTGTAGTTAAAACTGCAACTTGGGGTTTAGTGGGAATGAAGACGTTATGATATCGTCTTTTTTTTCATTTATTTTTTAATAATGACAGCGATAACGGGAAGCTTCACAAGGTCAATAAAATGAAGACGTCATAACTACTTATCTTGGAAGACGTTATTGGCTATCTAGTTCCAATGAAGTTGAAATTCGGGTGATGATTTAAAACACTGTCTTGATGATCTTTCATTGAATACTGAGGAAATGATTTTAATGATAGGCATTTTCTTGGAATTTCGGTGTAAGAAAATTGGGCCAGTACTTTAAACAATTCTCTTTGTTTTTCGTTGTCATTTTCTAGCTAAAAAAGTTACCTTCTGCTAATAACTCCATCGTGAAACCTTTAGGAAGTGAACTCAAGGTAAGTTTAAAACGTGGAAACATTATTCCCTTAAATTTGAGGATTTTTTTGTGACCTTCACTGCTTCATTTGGTGATGTGTATGAGAAGCATTATTTATTCAGTCACAAAAAAATATGAAATGGTTATTTCTTATTTCAACCCTATAATCATTATTTCTATATGATGCTACATTTTCAATTAGCCCAAATTATATAATTGTTTGAATGTTGATTTATTGATATTTTCATCTTTTTTTTTTCATTCAGAACGTCTGCTTCCCTTATCGGAAGATATGCGAATTAGCGTAGAACTTGCCGGTTGGGGAGCTCCAGTATTTGACGAGAACGAGGACATTTACGGAATTACAGCTGCAACTGCGAACAATAAGCTGTCCACAGTAAATTTACGTCTTGCAGATCACTTGATATGTAAAGACAAGATAAGGGACATTCCCGTGAGCTCCCACATGTTCTGCGCAGGATTCGAGTAAGTAATTGGGAACAGATTCCAGAAAAATTTGCCAGAATTTGTTTTATGTTTACGGAATCTTAAACATTTTTTTCCGTTAATGAATAAGTCCTGTTTCCCAATCATAAGTAACTTTTATATCTCACGTGTGAATATGGTTTTAGTTATAACTGGTAAGCACAATATTCTTACTTACTTGGAAACATAATATTGTTTTTTTAAGTCTAATGGTGTATAACATCTAAACTGGCGATGCATGATCTGTTTATCAGTAGTGTTTGTGATATTGTGTAACAATAACACTGATAATAATCTTAATCATATATTTTATTATTGGTATAACACCTAAACTGGCGATGTATGATCTGTTTATCAGTAGTGTTTGTGATATTGTGTAACAATAACACTGATAATAATCTTAATCACATATTTTATTATTGGTATAACACCTAAACTGGCGATGCATGATCTGTTTATCAGTAGTGTTTGTGATATTGTGTAACAATAACACTGATAATAATCTTAATCACATCTTTTATTATTATTGGTATAACACCTAAACTGGTGATGTATGATCTGTTTATCAGTAGTGTTTGTGATATTGTGTAACAATAACACTGATAATAATCTTAATCACATCTTTTATTATTATTGGAATAACACCTAAACTGGCGATGCATGATCTGTTTATCAGTAGTGTTTGCGATATTGTATAAAAATAACACTGATAATAATCTTAATCACATCTTTTATTATTGGTATAACACCTAAACTGGCGATGCATATTTGTTGATCAGTAATGTTTGTGCTATTATATAACGACACTAATATCAATTTTGATCACATATTTCCTTACTGGCTTTTTTTTTATTCCTGTAAACTCCCAGTGGAGCATAGGACCGCAACGGCACCTCGGCAACGGAAGGTGTTGTTGCAGTTACTTGTAGCAGGTTGGTTTTTACGGGGTGGAGTTACTAGCCCCGCGCCCATCCCTCCTCCTTTCTCATCCTGGACTTGGGAACAGGCAAAGGCGGAGGTTGGCATGCCGGGCCTTACTGGCCCTTTACTTGTCGACAATACATTGTAGTATGTCTTTGTTTTCAGTAAATCACGTCATAATTGAGAGTTTTCATCATATAATATCCATGATTAAAATCAAACCTTTAAAAGCAATATTTTCAAACATTTCTGTGATATTTTAAGAGTCTATATATATAATATATACAAACAATATTCAACATTAAGATTCAGTTAATAAGATAACTTTATCATATCGCTAGTGCCTTAAAGCCCTTGTTGCTGTTGCTGTTGGTGCAGTATTTCTTAGCCTACATCATTTAACGCAATGTATACAAACATCACTTACATGTATTGCTATAATGGGTCTTTTGACACTTAGAACATGCACTACATGTCTACCTTGATGCCAGCGGGAGTAAATTCGCTACTTACATGTATTGCTATAATGGGTGGTGTCTAGCAGAGTACCATGTGATGATCTTGTATTTATTACGAATTATGGATGATTGGCCTAATATTTTCAAACGTTTAATACCACATGAATGAATGTAGTCCTTTATAGTTTTATTGGTATAACCGTATAGGTATATACCATAGTCATTATTAATTATATCTATTTTAAAAAAATATCAGTGATCAAACGAGTAGGAAACTGGTAATTAAGTGCCCGGTGGCCATGAAAGTGATAACTTATAAATTATGATACTTTTATATATTTTTTCAAAATTGTAATTAGATACACATTTCTCGTATATTTTATTTTAAATTATTTGCTGCTAAGAAAAATATATATATTATTGGATGCATACTGTCAAGTCAAAAACATAATAGACCAATAGAAAATCTCTATCGACTCTGAAAAAAAAAATAATAAAGTGTAAGGCAATGGTCATGCGCAACTACAAATCTTGGTATGTAACTATAATCGTAAAATAACGCGAACAAAATTAAGTTGTTCAATTATATCAGGGCTTCCTCGGCATTTTCCGGAACAGTTATGAATATGATCGAACAATCTGATTATTCTGTGCATCATATCAGAACTTCGGTTATGTACCAAGATTTCTATTTGCGCACGTGCATTGCCCCACTTAATCTGTTTCTTTTCTTTTCTATAATAGTCTTAGTATGCCATTTTTCCGTTAGAGCTCGTGTATGGAATTCCAGTGAGAAGAGTGGATAATTTACTCGTTAACAAAGTTTTTCCATCTCATATTATGCTGGCTCTTTCCAGCAGCTAATTTCATAGTTTTTCCATCTCATATTATGCTGGCTCTTTCCAGCAGCTAATTATATAGTTTTCCATCTCATATTATGCTGACTCTTTCCAGCAGCTAATTTCATAGTTTTTCCATCTCATATTATGCTGGCTCTTTCCAGCAGCTAATTTCATAGTTTTTCCATCTCATATTATGCTGGCTCTTTCCAGCAGCTAATTTCATAGTTTTTCCATCTCATATTATGCTGGCTCTTTCCAGCAGCTAATTTCATAGTTTTTCCATCTCATATTATGCTGGC